AAGTCAGAGAACTGTTCCATAAATCAAGTGTCAATTTCTGTGATGGAAGCTAGATGATTGTTTCTGGCATTACAGAGATGCTTATATGACAGTTGCATAAATAAGGATTTAGTTTCCATTCCATACAGGTTGTTATTATGTTTGTTTGTACACTTATGTCTTTAAATTCTACGAAGTATAAACAGAATAATGATGACATTTTTCATATTTATGTCAAGATAGCATTAGTAGATCCAACATGATGAACCTGCCTACAAGAAATGGATTAGTTTCTGGATTTTCCACATTCTACTTTTGATGCTTTTGCTTACATGTGTTACATCATACCTACACTTTGGTTAATGACAATACGAAATTGCTGAAGAAATGTGTGACAGAGGTAAACATAGAAAAAGTAACATCTTCGAAGAATATATACTTTAGTTTTCAATTTGTGTTTCTCAACGGTCCACGCCATCTTAGAGAAGATTGAACAAGAGTTGGTAGTCTTTGCATCACAACTATTTTAGAAATTGTCCAAATATGCACTAAGAACAATTAAATTTGTGTTCTAATTTCTCTACCTTACTCTGTTAGGAAATAGAAATTATAGGTTTATTACCATAATAAGGCATGGATTAAGGGGGATTAAGTGGTGTTGGGTTAGGCCTAACCCTCCTATGTGGAGAAATGGTCAATATTTGTGGACTAAGCCCACACTTGTTAAGCCCACTTAAAGCCACATTTTGCAGCCCTTTAATACAAAGAAAGGAGTTTGATTTGGACAGCAAAAAGTGGAGAACACGTGAGGGACCAGTCGACAGAAAGGGGAAAAGAAAGCAGGGGAGGATTCTGCAGATTGGTACACTGCACAGTTTTGCAACTTTGTCCGATCCGCAAAGTTCACCACTGGATTAAGCTGAAATTTGGTCTGGGGGTTTACAAGACTTTGATCTACAATATGAATGATCAGTTTTTCGTTTGGAGTTTTGTAGGTTCAGTTCTTATGCCTTGAACAGTAGCTCGTATTTTGGTGCTTTGTTTTCTTGTGGCCCCTTTTTTACTTTGTTGGTTTGTGGCCTATTGATCCTCTTATTTGGTGCTGTTTTTGTGCCCTTTTAGAAGAGGATATTGTGTACTCACTTTTATCATAGTGGAGCTATTTTGAGTGGACTGGATGTCCCGTGGTTTTTACCCAATTTTGGGGTTTTCCACGTAAAATATTGTGTCTCTTGTGTGGTTGCTTTGCCTTGGCTATTTTTACTGTTCTGCATATTTTTAGCTGCTGCCATAATTTATTTGGACTCAATTTAGCTTGCTCCTAACAATTTCAAATAGATTGGGGAAGATTTTGGTGTTGCTTTTGTTTTTTCTGTGCTTAGGTGACACACCGTTCTTCCCAACACACTAGTATCAGAGCATTTGGCTTGTTGTTTTCAAATATCTATTGAATTATGGAGGCTAATACGAGTAAATGATTTTCTTGAATGATGCAAATTATCAGAAATGGAGAGTTAAAATGAAAGATCTCCTATTTGTGAAAAAGATGCATTTGTCGATGTTCGAGACTCAAAAACCAGATTCTTTGACTAATGAAGAGTGGACTTTTGAGCACCAGCAAAGTTGTGGCTGTATAAGGCAGTGGATAGAAGACAATGTCTTGAATCACATTGCAAATGAGAGACACATGCAAGAAGTTTGTGGGAAAAACTTGAGACACTTTATGCTTCAAAAACTGGCAATAACAAGTTGTTCCAGCTAAAGCAGTTAATAAACTTGAAGTACAAAGAAGGAAGTCCTATTTTAGATCATGTTAGTGATTTTCAAGGCATCCTTGATTGCTTGTCTGATATGGGTGTTAGATTTGATGATGAGATTTAGGGACTTTGGTTGCTTAATACTTTGCCTAATTCATGGGAAACTTTTCGAGTTTCATGGACCAATGCTGCTCCTAATGGTGCTATGACCATGGAATATGCTAAGACTGGTGTCTTGAATGAAGAGGTGAGAAGAATTAATCAGGCTGCATCTTCTTCAACCTTACAGTCAGATGTTCTAGTCATTGAAGATAGGGGGAGAAGCAAAACTAAGGGTCAAGGAGGCAGAGATAAAAGTAGAAGCAAGTCAAGGCCAAAGTACAAAGATCTTGAATGTCACCATTGTGGTAAAAAGGGACATATAAAGAAATACTGTTTTCAACTTAAAAAGGAGATGAGGCAGGGGAAGAAGAAAGACGATGATAATGAGAACCATGTTACAGCTGCCATTGATGAAGATCTTCTTTTTGTTGGTGATGAAAATGTCATCAATTTTGCATCTCATGAGACCAGTTGGGTTATGGATTCTGGTGCTGCATACCATGTTACACATAAGAAGGAATTTTTCACATCTTATACTTCTGGTGATTTTGGGGTATTGAAGATGGGTGATGATGGCCAAACTAAGGTGATTGGTATGGGAACAGTTTGCTTGCAAACCAACAATGGCACAAAGTTGGTCCTTAAGGATGTCGAGCATGCACCTGATATCCGACTCAACTTAATTTTTGCGGGAAAGCTGGATGACGATGGTTATTGCAGTTCTTTTAGTGATGGGCAGTGGAAACTCACTAATGGTTCCCTTGTTGTAGCTCGAGGCTCTAAGTCTTCCAACTTGTATTTGATGCAGAGTTCCATTGCTGGTGGCTCTGTTAATGTAGTTGGGAAAGATGAATCATTAGAGTTATGGCACAAGAGGCTTAGCCATATGAGTGTAAAGGGGATAGATTGTTTGGCCAAGAAGAATGTGCTATTTGGATTAAAGGAAGCAAAGTTGGAATAATGTGTTCATTGCTTGGCTGAGAAATAAAAAAGAGTTTCTTTCAAAAACCATCCTTCTTCAAGAAAGTCAGATTTGCTAGAGCTTGTGCATTCCGATGTGTGTGGACCTTTGAAGGTGAGGTCATATGGTGGTGCACTTTATTTTGTCACCTTTATTGATGATCATTCAAGGAAGCTTTGGGTTTATCCTTTGAAGACCAAAGATCAGGTTCTTGGTGTATTTAATCAATTTCAAGCCTTGGTTGAAAGACAAACAGGCAAGAAATGGAAGTGCATTCGTATAGAAAATGGTGGTGAATACTCTAAACCATTTGATAACTATTGCAAGGAGCAAGGTATTAGGCATCAGAAAACTCCTCCCAAGACTCCTCAGTTGAATGGCTTAGCCGAGAGGATGAACAGAACTTTGATGGAGAGAGTTAGATGTTTGCTTGCTGAAGCTAAATTGCCTAGAACTTTTTGGGCAGAAGCTCTTAATATAGTGGCGCATGTTATCAATTTGTCTCCCACTATTGCTTTGGATAATGATGTTCCTGATAGAGTTTGGTATGGCAAGGATGTTTCTTATGATAACTTGCGGGTTTTTGGATGTAAAGCATTTGTGCATGTCCCCAAGGACGAGAGGTCAAAGCTGGATGCTAAAACCAGGCAGTGTATCTTCATTGGTTATGGTCAAGATGAATTTGGCTACCAGTTGGGTGATCCAGTTGACAAGAAACTAGTCAGAAGCTGTGATGTAGCATTCTTTGAGGACCAAACTATTGAAGATATTGACAAGGCAGAGAAGATAAGTCTTCAAAGCAATGAGAGTTTGGTTGATTTTAGGCCAGTTGTTGAGACTATGGTGCCAAATGCAGTTGAAAATCATCTTCAAAATGATGAAGTCCAAGATGACATCCATGATGGTCATGTAGATGCAAATGATCTTGATGCTCCTTTAAATGAAG